GAAGGTTCCTCGAATAGCAATTTCGTGGGACCTTCCCAAAAATTTTGGTAAAAAGCGGAGCCAAAGCAATACGTTCTGCAGATACTTTTCGAACGATCCAATAGGCTAGCGTGAGCCAAGCAATGTAGCTGAGGATTACAGCTCAACATATCTGACTTATCTGGCAAAATAGTTTGAATAAATGATTCATACGAACCGTCATTGGTGCATCAGCCGCAGCTCTTGTTACTCCAGGTATTGAGTTTAGAGCGAACCTTTCTGCTGGAGGTGGTCTGTATTTTTTCATTATGCTATATAGTATCGTGCACACCTGTGCCATCGTAGGACGCGCTGCTGGATCTACCACCCTGAATTATGGGATAGTTTGGATACGAGCTTTCTAAAGTGAATTGGAAGAGTTTCCGAGAGTTATTTTCAGAGTCGAAGGTGCTACTAGTATTTTTATACTAATCTTACCTACTAATGTTCACTATTTCATTTATTTATCAAAGTTTTATTTTCACACGTTCACTAATGAATATCAATCAGTCTCAGTCGATTGTTCATTCCCTCCGGGAAATTCAAAAAGAGTGCTTTACAGGCAGTCATCGCTGCTTTATAACATTATTTATCTTGTTCTTCAATGCCTCTGACGTAGCGTCATTACATTAGCTTTAGCTTCAGTTCAGGCCCTTTTGCGTTGCTACGGTCCATTCTATTTTGGATCGTTCCTCTGAACCTTTCGTGTTTTTTGTTTTCTAGCAACTCAAAATCTGGGTGACGGCGATCTTAGTGTTCTGTGTCGTTTTAAAAGACCCGTATACCATCCTGACGTAACCGCAAGCCTATGACGTATCTTCCTCACATGAACAGTGATTCCCTGACATGTATGACAGCGTCGCTGATCTTCTTTCGTTGACGAGTTTTAGAATTCCGGATTGTATGATTCGAAATATGAGCTGACGAGCTCCACATTGAAACCAGAGTGGAATAGTACGAGCAGGATGAAAGACTGTCCGAGCTTATCATTTGACCCACACAATCCGTGGTAACTCGCAATTCCAGAAGCCGTCTCATTTGCGATGAACATGGGGATCACTTGGTGGACAGTTCCATGATCAAATAGACCTCATCACCTTCAATCAGAGGTTAGCCTAACCGATGTCGCTGTTGCTCCGAAGTTCTACACAGGATCGGGCCATCGCCTCTTCAGCGCTAGATTCTAGTTCTCAGTGCGTGAAGAGAGAGCTATGAAATTCAGGAACGAAGCCCCAAGACCTCATTAACTGAGACCACTGAGCTTTACATCGTTCTGCTAGGATATGAAGTACCCACGTCTGAAAAACTTTCGAGACTGTGTTGCTGTACAAGAAAGAAAATCCCGACGATATTGGCAACTATCATCCAATCTGCCCCCAGTTTGTAATCTACAAGTTTTGCACACGCATCATCTTGAACAGGATCGGCATAATATTAGATGAAGAACAGTCGTAATGGACCTCGTCCACGCCAATGCAATAACCATTCAAGCATCGCGAGAGTATAAAAGGCCGCTCATGTGTCTAACTTCATGGATTTGAATAAAGCCTCTGTACCGTCGAGACAGAGGCGGTGATTGAGGCTTTAGACAACTATGGTGTTCCTACCCAATACATAAGGATGGTTCGTGAGCTCAACGTCAACTTCACGACCAGGATTTTGCTATTCTACAAGGAAGTTAATATCAGCGTGAAGAGGGGTGTCCGGCATACCATTTCACCGAATCTCTCAAGAGCATCATGCGTCAGTTGGAATGAAGGGAATTGGAAGTGAAGGTCGACTGCTGCTATTTACATCACCTTGCAGACGACATCGTGATTATAACATCAAACTTCGACCAGGCGGAACTAATGCTGGCCGAGTTGGACAGTGCTTGTGAAAAGA